TTTTTATCAAGCTTGTATATTTAAGTTAAATGGCAACGATAATTACCTATTAATTGTTATTTAAGTGAAATTACTGAACTTAAATGTACAAGTTTGATAAAAATCATCATTAAAGAAGAAAATTTCAAATGGCATTTAGAGGCTTTTGCATCTGAACTCTTCATATCTTTAATATACTTTTTTCGGATTTTAGAGTAAAATATGGCCCAGGTATTGCGTGTCAGCTCACAGAACGTTGCATGCTGGGTATGTGGAGAATATCAGCTGATCTGGCATGAGCCAGTGAACTTCTCCTCACTCCATAATACTGTAGTTAGAGATGTTCAGCCAGTCGGAGCAGCAGACGTCCTCATGCTACTCGGAAACACACAGTCCCAATCTCCAGCAGGGATGATTTCAATCGCATCATAAATGATGGCTTTTCTCGCAACTACAAATTTATATCTCGCAATTATTACTTTTTTTCTTACAAATGTGAAATACAAACTCGCAAATTGCGATTTATAAAGTCCGAATTGTGAGATATAAAATTTGCAATTCGGACTTTTCTTGCGATTGGGAGTTCAAGTAGTTCACACAATTGCGAGAAATGTCAGAATTGCGAGATTGTTTCTCATATTTCGGAGAAAAAAGTAACAATTGCGAGATATAAATTTGCAGTTGCGAGAAAAGTCAGAATTGTATGGAAGCCTGTTTCCGCCACAGGATAAAAAAGGTAACTGCGACTTTTTATCTCACAATTCTGACTTTTTTTCTCACATTTACGTGATGTACGTAACGCAATTGGGACCGTATATTTACAATTCTGACTTTATATCACGCAATTGTGCGAATAAAAGTCCAAATTGTGACTTTATTTCACGCAAATCTGACTTTATATCTCGCTTCACTCTTCGCTCCATAATACTGTAGTTAGAGATGTTTAGCCAGTCGGAGCAGCAGACGTCCTCATGCTACTCGGAAACACAAGGTCCAAATCCTCCAGAATGGATTTTCACGCATCCATGGCTGATTCTGAATCGACTCCTCGGGGTCAGACGAAGCCCGGGTCAGACGAAGAGCTGGATGCGCTCGCGGATGGTCTGCCGGCAGATGGGGCAGGTCTTGAGCGCGGCGCTGCATTCGATGCAGGAGGCGTGCCCGCACTGGAACACCAGCTTGATGTGGTTGTCGATGCAGATGGGGCAGGTGATGCGCTCCTCCATCTGCCGGTACCGGGACTGGAGCTGCTCCAGCAGGTTGTGTTGCTCTGAGTTCTCCGAGCTCGGGCTGCACTCCACCTCCGTCTGGTCTGAGAGAGGGAAGAGGGAAGAGCAGGAGTTAGTCAGGAAAGAGATAAAACACCCGTTTCCTTGCAGGACGTAAAAGCAAATGAGTCTTTAATACTGCTACTGTAAAGCTGTTTCCTTAAAGAGAATCCAGCTTCTAATGTTGTTTATGGGTACGTTTCCATGGCAACAATATGCCGATAATGGAGAAGTTCCCTTTAGAGGGAATTCGCATTGCGTCGGAATGACGTCTGAATCAAACTAATCCAATCGTGATTGGTGCTGCGTCATGACATGTGACGGCATTAACACAATACAGTCCCACCAGGATTTCACGATTTTTTTTTTGTGACTTTTGCGATCAAAATGACTGATTTTGTGGTGGTAATTTCCAAAAATTTGTGAAAAAATTTGCGATTTATATATAACATTTACCATAATAGTATTCAGTCCTTCCAGAAAAACGCTGAGTTTTTTTGTGATTGTTGCGGGCAAAAATTGATTGATTACGCGGCCCGTTTTCTTTAAAAATGCGATGGAATATGCAGGATATTTATGCAATTTTATGCGATGAAATTGCAGGAATTTGCAAAAATTGCAACAAAAAAAAAGTGATTCCCCCAACATCCTGTTCTCACCAGGCTAATGTAAGAGTCATTTCTTATTACTTCCTTTGATAAGCAAGCACACTACATCATAGAAAGTGCTGGGAATATTTGTTTTATTTCAGACTGTAACGAGTGTAAATAAGGTGTGGCCCCTTTAAGAGCTCTCTGCAGTGTTATATGTGCGCCTCGAACACCCCATGTGTGCGGGTAATTTCTGTTTGATGCTACTTCTTTTATCTTATGTTGTTTATTAAGTAACGATGTGACGGTAGAACGTGTGACAGACAGTTATACGAGTTCGATTTGTGAGATGTCAATCGCCTGTCTGGCGTCGCGTAATTGCGTCACTTCATAACGTTCCCATGGAAACAGGAGGAAATGGCTGCTCTTGTGTGAAGCAAACGCAACATTTTTCAACTTTCTGCTAAGATACATGTGAGTTTTTTTGCAACGAAAATGCGAGGATTATGAAATTATGCAAACCCCGCATATTTTGCACGGAAATCGGCAATTTATGCGGCGAAAGTGCGGCGTATTTGAAAAAATGCGGCCCCCGCATAAATATGCGGACTTTGGCTGATTTTTGCATTGAATTCAGCGATCGCATAATCGCGTTTTTCTGGAGGGACTGACAATAGAGTTAGAGTTTTGCTCTTCAGCAAGCGCTCTGTGTGCAACCGTCTGTCCTATTTGGTGTCGTTTGTCCTGTAGGAACTTGAATTGTTACCATGAGCACAGCTTAAAACATGTACTCCTGTCCACGTTAAACTGACACACGTGATGGGTGTTTGGAAACGAGGCAGACTAAAACGAGCCACTTCAGGGGATCGAGAACAGATCTTGAATAATACCTGAGATCAGCCTTGAAAGGCTGGTTCCCTTGGTAGAATATTTCAAAGCATGGCAAAACCTGCCGAATATTTCTCCTTGGGTCATGAGTACACTTCAGAAGGGATACAGACTCAACTTTGATTTCCGCCCACTGAATTTCAACAGGAGGGTTTGGACCGCAGTCGACCCAGAGCAGGATATGCCAGGATACACCAAAGAGCAGCACAGAGAAGTCCAAATTAAACACGATCACTTCCGGCGTAACATTGAACTGATTCAGTTCGGTTCAGTTGGACATTGAACAACTGATTCAGATCACTGTGATTACACGAGGTAAAAACGGTTTTCTCACACAAACCGCTCGTTTCGTGTCTTAGGCCACATTTACGGGTCATTAAATCATGTTTAATTTGGACTTCTCTGTGCTGCTCTTTGGTGGACCCCCTTAGCCTCCAGTGTATGACTGATAGACAACAACGGTTTGACTGAAAATACTGTGGAAACAAAGACACCTACATCTTGGATGCCCTTGAGGTAAGATAAAACATATCAAAAATTAATTTCAAAGTGAACTATCCCTTTAATTATTTATAATGTTTACCATTTGGAAAAGAGGCCACAGGTGGAATGGAACTGTTCAAATCTCAGCATAAAATATCATCATCATTCAAACGTAAAAGCACTCACCCTGCCGGATTTTCTTCGTTATCGTCACCTGACAGCGGATGCACTTCTTCATTCTGTGAGCGCATTCTGAGGAGACACGACCCCACAGAGGTTGGCATTAGTGTGTGGGATTCAGTGATCAGAAACAGCACCCGTGAGTGTGTGAGTGTGTGTGTGTGTGTGTGTAAACTCACCCTCACACGCGACGCTGTGTTGGCAGGGGGAGAACAGCACTAGCAGCGCGAGCTCGGAGCAGATCAGGCACTCGCTGGGACCCGCCGCACTCGGCACCGCCAGGTTGGTCATGGTGTTGGGCGTAGTGTGAACCCGCCGGAGACTGGCACTGCTGGTGCCCGTGCCACACGTGACGGCCTGCAGTCTGAACACACACACAGTGCTAGAAAGTTTCTATCTATGATCTAACTTTAACTTTCCTCTAGATCTGAACTCTCTCTGTTCCTGTAATCTCCTGTCCACACACACCTGTGTTTCTCTGCAAAGCTCCTGATGAGGGTTTGCACGCTGCTGTCCGTCACCAGGTCCAGTGGGCTTTTTCCTTTATGATTGGCGTAGTTGATATCGGCTCCCTCCTGCGCCAAGAAGCAAGCGATGGCAGAGCCGACGTTCAGCTCCGTGTTTCCCATCAGCCCTGAGCTACTCAACTACAGGCACAGAGCGGAGGAGTAAACACACTGCGCACGTTTCAAACGGGACCGTGTTTAGCGCGCGCGAGCGGCTCATCTTACCCTGCTGTAGAGCGCGGCCCCCTCCCCCTCGGCGCCGCTCATGACTGCGCTCAGCTGCTGGCGGCTCAGAGCCGTGTGCATCGCCGTGTCCCCGTCCTCGTCCTCCGCGTTCACGTCTGCGCCCTCCGTCACCAGCAGCGCCACCAGGGCCATGTGACCCTGATTCACGCTCAACTGCAGCGCCGTCTGGTTGCGGTTGTTGCGGATGTTGATGTCACAGCGACCCTTCAAGCGAAACAGACACACCGCCGGTCAATCAATCAGGGTTTCAAATTACTGGCTGAAATTTACGGCCAATTTGATTACTACATTTTTAAGTTACCGGCCATTCAGAACTTCTACTAGCCAAAAAAATTAAAAATAAACCACTACGCCACAGCTTATTAATATATATATACTATATAAGTGGTGGTGTAGTTAATCTGGTTTATTTATTTTTACACTTTTTTTCTTATTTATAAAAAAATGTCCTGGCTTTTCTAAGCTTTATAATGACAGTGAATAGCCGTTTCTGTTTTGAAGTCCATAAAATGGGTGAGTAAATCATGGTCTGTAGTTTTGGGTGTACTGTCCCTCAGGTGCTCTTTGTTCATTTCTGACCGAAACATTTTCTGTTTTGAATTTTTAAAAATCACAGCTTCATCAGAATGTTACGAAACTTGGTGACTTTTATGGCATTGGGTATGTGAACACACAAAAAAATTGAGGTCATGATCCGAGCATGCTAAGTGGTCGTAAAAAAATGAGTCACACTTGTGCTCTTCAGTCAAAAATGACCCCCATAGGAAATGAATGGGAAATTGACAACAACAAAAAAAAAATTCTCTGAATTTTTGTATGTACAATCGACAAATCAGCCACAATTCTAAAAAAAAAAAAGTACACCGCAGGAAAGGGGTGACGCTCTACAACATCTAGAGTGCAAAACAGACACACCCACCAACACACACACACACATACAAACACATACACACCAATACATTTTGATTAAAAGAAGTATGTTTTGAATTTCTAAAAATCACAGCTTCATCGCGATGTTACGAAACTTGGTGACTTTTATGGCATTATGTATGTGAACACACAAAAAAATTGAGGTCATGATCTGAGCATGCTAAGTGGTCTTAAAAAAATAGTCACACTTGTGGTATTTGGTCAAAAATGACCCCCATAGGAAATGAATGGGAAATTGTAAAAAAAAAAAAAAAAAAAAAAATTGTGAATTTTTGTCAATTTTTTTTATAAGAAATAGCTTTTGAGATTGTTTCAAATATATATACAAATCCACCACCAAAAAAAAAAAAAAAAAAAAAAATGTGTTGATAAACAGCTGGGGAATTCACATGCCTCTCCATAGAGAGCTGTACATGCCATCTAGTGGTTACATCATGATTCTACACTTTTTCTCTATACTGTAACCAGATGGTGCTAATTTTCTTCAAAAACTATTTTTTTTTCTGAAGGCCTAGACTCTATATTAAACTAAAATTCTGCATTAATATTTTTTTTGAAAATAATAATATATATATAGAAATATATATATATTATTTTTCCATGGCAAAAATAGACCATAAATATTGTATAAATATTAATAAATTCAATTAAATTGTCTCAAAATACTAAATTCAAAAGAATAAATATTATAGAACAAAAATAAATTGCATTGGTTTTACTGGGATGGAGAAAAGTTTAATTTTTAGGTGTCCGGCCACTTTTGACCGGGAGGATAACAAGTGTGACTCCGAAACGAAGAGCACCTGAGGGGTAAATGTGTGATGAGGAGCAGTGATCGCTCTCACCTCTTTGAGGAGGATCTCGGCCACGTCCCGGTGGTTGTTCAGAGCGGAGAGATGAAGAGCGGAGAACCCATCATCCTTCTTCACGTCAGCCAGCTGTCGCGCTCGAGCCAAGATCATCTCCGTCGCGCTGGAGGAGCACACACACACACACACACGGTCAGAATCCAGCACTCGCTCAGAGGATCGTAGAAGCTTAGACGACACATTTTACATTTACATCTGTTTCCGACGCCAGGAACACCGGATCAGGATCCTCCATCGGTCGGATGGGCTTTACAAGCTCAATCAAGCTCCTCCAAGTTAATATTACTAACACGAACTATCTTTCTAAAAGATATATTAATACTATTTAATGTGTCAATTTTAACATTTACCAATACATGAGGAAAATCAAAAGTACATATTTTTGAAATCACCTGAACTAACAATGAACAGCTGTATTTGTTATTTACTAATGTTAATTAAGATTAATAAACATGGAAACAAATGTACAGTCAAACCAAAAATGATCCAGACACCAGCTATGATTTTCTGCTAGTGTGATCAGGACACTATAGTTCATATATGAGTCATCATAAGTGTTGTGGGATGGGATGTAATAATGACATACGTATATAGTAGTTTTCACTTATTTCCGACATCAGAGCCACTGAAACCACAGTGGATGTATTGTATTTTGGAAGTTTAAGTGGCGCCTTTCCTTCATAAATAAGTTTATGTTTGAGCGAATCATTTTCTGACTGACTGTTTTGTGAACGAGGGTCAATTGAAAGCAGGTCTTGCTTCACAGTTAATCCTCAAGTGTGGATCGTCATCTACTGTTTGCGATCCAACTAGTAAGTGTATTTTATGATTTTTGAGCAAATAGTCAACAATTCAACAACAAATGCGTCAAAAAAATTTGAACTTGAGCTAATGTTCAAGCGTCTAACTACAGTAGACACGACGATAGACGCGTATTTGACGCTCTATTCGCGTTCGGTGTGAACACACCATTACATTTTACAAGCATCACCACCGCATCAAAAACATGATTGCGTGATAAAAACATGAAAAATACCACCTAAACATATCCTAACTGTTTAGAAAGAAACCACAGAACGAATAGCCTAATGTGCATATGTCCATCTCGCGAATGTAGACTCATTCATGCTATATTCACCCATTAGCCGCTATTCCATGGCCAGTGTGAGCACAGAGGTCGAAATAATGACTCACTGCACTCGTATATAAAAAAAAAACGCTATAGAAATATAGCCTATCATGACATGCATACAAAAATAGATTTATTGTGGCTACACTTTAAAAATTGATTACATGGTTTTAATAAAAAATTCCCCATCGGCCCGGGCCCATATGCACGTGCATACCCTGCATGCCCAGACGCTACGCCACTGAAGCCAAGCAATGTTGGATGAAACCTGCTGGACAATCATCATATTTACAGTCCTGCACTAACACACACACATAATATATCCTACTTTAATACAAGACTTTTATCACGATTGAAGATTCAATATTTATTTAATCCGTGCAATCCAACAAAAAGAAGATCTTGTGTGTGATTTTTGTTTAGTTTACAACGTAACCGAGCATGAACAAAACAGATAATTAAATGTTAAAGCAATGTTGATAATGTAAAATAAATATTCAATTCCACAAAGCAAACATTTGGATAGGCCTAGCTGATGAGAACTCGAACCCTCTGATCATCTGATTGGTTCTGAGAAATGTTGTTCCAGATCCAGGAACTTGCAATACTTGTGTAAATCACGTTAAGTGTGACAACATGAGTGTGTGTGAGGGAGTGTGTCCCTGCGGCTGTCCGGGTCAACTGTCTCGCTGTTATGAAAGAATCTGGGTCACACAGAGGAAATGTGTACAAGCCTGTGTGTGTGTGTGTGTGTGTGTTTACCAACATGTTCTGGATTCTTCCATCTTAATAATATCTCTAAATTACGCCGTATGCTCTCAATGACAGATGCGGAAGAGTTAGTTGATGCGTTCATGACATCAAGACTAGATGACTGTAATGCTCTACTGGGTGGACGCCCTGCACGCTTAAAGGATTAGTTCACTTTTGAAAAAACTTTTGCTGATAATTTACTCGCCCCCGTGTCATCCAAGATGTCCATGTCTTTCTTTCTTCAGTCGAAAAGAAATTAAGGATTTTGATGAAAACATTCCAGGATTTTCTCCATATAATGGACTTCAATGGGGTCCAAACGGTTCAAGGTCCAAAAGAGAGTTTCAGTGCAAACTGTTCAAATGTCTTTAAACGACACCAGACGATGAATAAGGGTCTTATCAAGCGAAACGATCCGTTATTTCAAAGCTTATTCCCAAAATGTAACTTTTCTAAGGACAAATGCTAGCCTTGCTCTATTCTGTGAGGCGCGTTTGTAACGTCACGTAATGCGTAATTACGTTCAAAAGGTCACGGGCGACGTAGCCGGAAGTACAGAGTCAGTGTTTACAAGTTGAACGCATAGGTTGAACATGAAAACTAACTCAAACACCGTTTACAAAAAAGGAATTAAAAGGTAAAACAACGATGTCGGACGATTTTGATTCTGTACTTCCGGCTACATCGCCCGTGACCTTTTGAACGTAATTACGTATTACGTGACGTTACAAACGCGCCTCACAGAATTTGAGAAAGGCTAGCATTTGTCCTTAGAAAAGTTACATTTTTGGAATAAGTTTTGAAATAAGCGCTCGTTTCGCATGATAAGACCCTTATTCATCGTCTGGTGTCGTTTAAAGACATTTGAACAGTTTGCACTGAAACTGTCTTTTGGACCTTGAACCGTTTGGACCCCATTGAAGTCCATTATATGGAGAAAATCCTGGAATGTTTTCATCAAAATCCTTAATTTCTTTTCGACTGAAGAAAGAAAGACATGGACATCTTGGATGACACGGGGGCGAGTAAATTATCAGCAAAAGTTTTTTTAAAAGTGAACTACTCCTTTAATAAACAAACCCCAGCTGGTCCAAAACGCAGCCGCTCCAGGAAGTTTGACCATACTAGCCCGGTTCTGTCAACCCTGCACTGGCTGCCTATTAAACATCACATGCATTTTTAAATATTCCTGATTACTTAAAGCACTGAATGGTTTAGCTCCAGTACTTAACGCATTATAGTCCTTCACGTCTACTGCGATCTCGATATTCACCGCTGTTGAACTGCATGCAGTGGACCCTTTCCTATTCAGCATCTAACAGCAGACACACTCTGGAAAAATCTGCACTATAAAACACATCTCTTTAACCTGACATCATCACATTCATTTAACGATTTGCTAAGCTGGATGAATTAGGCTCGGTCAACAGGAACCGGGAACACTTCCTACAACACCCGATGTGCTCGTCACACCGTAAGAAGAATAGCATCTATGCTAATATTAGTCTCTCTGTTTACCCTGAGGTTACCGCCGTCAGCTGAATCCGACCCGTGTCCCGATCCGGCACCTAGACACGACCTCAACACAGCCCTGAACGTCAGACCGCGTCAACTAGAGTCTCCCTGTGCAGGCGAGTCACACGACCGCCATCGGCACTGATCCTCCGACCGGCATGATGGATCTGATCTTCAAGCAAAAGGAACGGGATAAATATTTGAATGCTTCCGATCCCGATCTGAATTCTGACTTAATAATGAGACCGTGTCCGTTCGTTGGCCAGAGGAGGACCGGCTCCCCGACTGAGCCCAAGGTGTCAGCCTCCGCTCGGGCTTGCTGAGTTCGAAAGGCTGTGGTGTATGATGAACAAGTCACGACTGAGGGCGTCGTTAGGCTTGAGTTATTCGCGATACAGCTCTCGCTTTAATAAAACGGTTACCACGCTACACAAATATTAAAGTTAAAAAAAAATATGTTTCAATGCAACTTTCATGAAGTAAAATCACTAAAAGTCTTCCTTCCACCGGAAAAAATAGTCCCTGACTGAGAACAGCAGATGATCGCCTTTAGATGGCGGCGAAGACTGACTGAAAGTAGAGAAGACTTTATATAGACCCCTTTTCAGTTGGTAAACATGGTGACGTTTTTTAGTGGGCGGAGCTTAGGTGGAGGCAGAACGATCCCTCTGGCCGCTTCACTAACGCTAGTTAGCAAGTTTTATTAGCTTGTTTTTTAACAATGACTGAAGAAAATCAGGTTTTATCTTAATGTGTAAGGTCACTCAGTGTCCAGGACCGCGATTGTTATTTCCAAACGTTATTTTTAACGGACAGAACCAGATTGGCCGACCCGTAGCCGCCTACACGCTCACTCGATGATGGACGATCTGACAGGATTAACGTACGTTACCTCGGTTGAGTGGCCTGACTTCTACACCTACCGTATAGAGAAACCGATCGTAAAGAGAAACTGAGGGCGTATAAATCTTTAGATGCCTATACTAGGGGTGGGCGATATGGAAAAAATATCATATCACGATTTTTTTAGGAAAATCACGATCACGATTTTTTATCACGATTCTTTTTCAAGTTGGTTTTAATATTTTGCAAGTGGCTGTTCATTACAGCCAAACTAATGTCCCTATGTTAAAAACAAAGCCTTAGGTAACAAAAGAAAAAAGAAAGCCACACATTTAGGCCAGTGGCGAAGATAAAAATCTTTGTCATTATTTTCTTTGTTATTAAAAAAATAAGACAAGATAAACATTACACAAATTAATATTCATATTAAATAAATTGTGCTTTATTTTTTCAGATGCAGTAGGTGTATTTAGCAGTTGCATTGAAGTAATTAAATGAACAAATATGAAATTAAAACACTACATAGACTTCACTGAATAAATTGATTCTTATTAAAGATATATTAAAGTTCTCAGTCAGTGAGTGATTTTCTCCTTGTGTTTTGTTGTTTTAACACTAAAGGGATAGTTCCCTCAAAAATGAAAATTGTCTTAATTTACTCTCTCAAGATGTTTTAAACCCGAATAAGTTTCTTTCTTCTGTTGAAAATAAAAGTTATTTTGAATAATGTGGGTAACCGAACAGTTGCTGGTCCCCCTATAGTTTTTTTTGTTCTCTCCTGGAAGTTAATGGTGACCAGCAACTGTTTGGTTACCCACATTAAAAAAAAATTGTCTTTTGTGTTCAGCACAAGAAAGAAATTAATACAGGTTTGGAACAACATTAGAGTGAGTAAATAATGACGGATTTTTTTTTTTTTTTTTTTTTTGTGAACTATCCCTTTAAGGACAAGCGGCAGTAGGCTACTATTCCTGTTGCTTTTAGACCAGCACGCGACGCGTTTAATATAGACGCATATTACACCAGATATTCTCTCAAATGTTTGCTTTCACTTTAGACATAGCCTGTTTATGTAAACATTGTGTGTATTTAACAGTATTAGCTTAATAAGACTCGAGAGATAACTTAGTCCAGTATTCAGGCGCTGTTTGACAGACTTCTAGTGCATGTGAGCGTCGGGGGTTATGCGGTCAGGAAAGCGCACGTTAGAACAGCGCATCGGCGTGAATTAAATGTTTAACCGGCAAGGCTTATGCAAATAATGAACTTTTGTGAATTGCGGTGTCCCGTACTATTCCTTAACGTGTGATCATGTGTAGGCTACGTCGCGTTGTACAGTTGAGAGATGGAGGCGCCAGAACTGAACTGATAGAATGCACTGTAACACGATACTACGATATTTCTTCAAAAGCAGATCGTGGAGACATTTTAATCGTCCACGATTAAAAATCGTCATATCGCACACCCCTAACCTATATGGTCCTGTACAAGACTTGTGTGTACGATCCGCAGTTCTGCAGAGACCACAACAATGTAAAGAGTGACATTACGGTGTGATTTTAATCATGTGAATATTTTCTAGAAATAAAAAATCCAGATACAGCATATTCATTTTTCATTGATACTTGCACCAAACAACACAAAAAGATGATATTTAAAAGTAATAAAAGTAATTTGAGTTCCTTATTATGTAGCCGAATCTGTGCTGGTTTGTATTGGCCGCCTCCAGTTTTCACTTTGTTTTGCCTCCAGCTAGCGCCGTGACGGAACTGTGACGTCGGCGCAAAAGGGGTCTATTGAAAGGTCTAAACTGGCTGTGAACTTGGAGAAGCAACTGGCGAATGATTAGCGCAGAAAACATCATAACTGTTCAGGACAAGATATTCAAACGGATTATTATCATGAATATCGGACTGGCCTGAAGATGCTGTATCTGCTGTAAATGCAGGAACACTCGCACTCTATACGCTTATCAACGGACAACATTAATGACAACATAGCCTATGTTTATGTTGCTAAGAGTGGTTGCTAGGGTAACACAGCTATTGACCAATCAGAATCAAGAACTAGATCTAACCGTGTTATAATCAGCATTACTGATCGGACTGACACGGGAGAGGAACTGAACTGACCTGGATGAGGACAACCCTGCTGATGATCTTTACAACAGAACTCAATCAACACTGAACTGACATCAGTAGAGCTGTTGGACATCCGAGAGGAACTCAACGAATCATCATTTCCTGTTATCACGATTAAACTGCAGTCTGTACTGTATAAAGTGCTCTATAAGGTCATGTGACTTGACTTAAAGAAAGAAGAACATGAGAAAAAGCATCATAGGTCCTCTTTAAACAGTAAAGTGAGAGATCATGCGAGAAGAATAAGCACATGTAACCAGCACAATTATGCAGTTTAGTGTTATTATGAACGGAGCGTGTCTGGACGGGTTTGGTGTGATGATGGAGGACGGGAGCGACGGACTCACAGCTTGTTGCCCTTCAGGGCCGCGTGGTGCAGGAGGTTGAACCCGCGGTTGTTCTGCTGGGTGAAGTCGATGTTCGGCACCACCGTCAGAATCTCAATGATGCTTCTGAAGTCTTTAGCGATGGCGTCGTGTAAGGGTGTATCTCCATATGAATCCTGACAACACAACAGCAAAAACAATCACTTAAATGGGACAAACCATGAAACTCTGACTAAGTGAAACAGAATCACGAGACTATGAATCCTGCTCAACTGACTTATAGGTTACTGAATAAGTTTGAAATTGGCATTTTCTTAACCCTTATGCTGCATTAGGGACATTTTTGGTCTTTTGCAGGTTAATTTCTTTGACCATTTTGGCTGTTTTAATGCAAATGGTATGAAATTTGGCAAAATTGTGACTTTTTGGATACATGTAAAAAATGTGATCCCATTTTGCAAAATATGTATAACACACACTGTGTAGATCAAATAGTAACACTCAGCACCATAAAGACCAAAAATGGCCCATTGAAACCCATTAAAACGTTGTTTAAATCTGAGGCTGTCAGTAATACATGAAACATGATTTTTGCACAAACATCCTTTCATTTTGAAGCAAAAGCATTATATTTGCATTATATAGTGATGACGTCACTACATATTTATTCCCTATGGGTGGAAATGCACCTTATTTTAGGCAATAGGCAATGTTTAATAGGTGGCCATTTTTGGTCTCTAACGCGCTAAGTGGGATTTTTTGCAAAGTGGGACTGTGATAATCCAAATCTAAAGTTTTCTCTTTGCATTTAGTTTATTGAAAATAATTGAATTTTTGTGTTTTTTCCTCTTATACAAATCGATGGTTTCGCAAACAAAACTGGTAATTAAAGGGTTAAAATCCTGAAATTGAATACATTTTTGGTAGTTATGATGAGGACTGATGCTGGTTAAAAGATTTAACTTGGTAAAAGTGGAAAATAATAATAATATATAATATTTTAGGCAATGTTTAATATGTGGCCATTTTTGGTCCTTAATGCACTCAACGGTGTTAAAAATCTGATGCAGCACAAGGGTTAATACAAATATTAAATAATAACTGCAATTAATAAAAAAACATGCCACTGGAGATGTCTTGCCCCAAATCTTCACATCAACACAAAAACAATAATTCTAAACGAGTTAGTGAGTTCACAAACGCCCCATTAACAGACATAGATAAACATAATATCCAACTAATATTTTAATATCCAGCATAAAATAAACACTGCACCTACTACCAAAAAACCCCCAAACTACACCAGTTAAACTCCGAACAGGAGTCTGATGTTGCTGTCTGACCTGCAGGTTGACGTCGGCCGAGTGCTCCGTCAGCACCCTCACCACATCCGTGAAGCCTTTATTGACCGCGATGTGCAGCGCCGTACACATGGAGTTGTTCAGCAGGTTCACCGAGGCTCCTTTACTGAGCAGGAGACGAGCGATCTCAGCCTGATTCCTGCACACACACACACACAGATCATACACAGCTGCAGGACACAAACAAGAGCAGGCACACAACAAACACTGTCTGCATACACACACTCTTCTAAAAAACTTCTTTTGTGTTCAAAGAAACAACAAAAGGGCGAGTCAAAGATGACAGAGCTTCCTTTTTGGGTATGTTTGGGTATATAACATATGTTATAATACAGACATATATAATAATAATATTCAGGGGTTATCTACGGTGTGTTGTAGTAATCCTTTAAAGTCATTAGTGTGAGGAGAATAATGTCATCTCATATACCCAGTGTTTGAAGATGCTTTGGTGATGTAACGGTTGATTACGCATTAATTAGACTACAGTGAGCTCAGGCCTGGTGTGTGCGCCTTCTGAGAAACACAGAGGTGATGCTTGTGTTTAATCCTTCAAATAATCTATTACGCCGAAGACTGCGGCTCCACGACTCACAGAAACTGCAGCACGACAGGGATTGAAAATAACTTTTCCACTCACCGGCCAATTCGGCTACTAAATCTTTAAATTACCGGCCATTCAGAACTTCTACTAGCCAAAAAAAATAAAATAAAAAATAAACCATATATATATATATATGAAGAGTTCAGATGCAAAAGCCTCTAAATGCCATTTGAAATTTTCTTCTTTAATGATCATTTTTATCAAGCTTATATATTTAAGTTCAGTAATTTCACTTAAATGACAATTAATAGGTAATTATCATTGCCATTTAAATTAAATCACTGAACTTAAAAATACAAGCTTGATAAAAATCATCATTCTAGAAGAAAATTTCAAATGGCACTTAGAGGCTTTTGCATCTGAACTATATATATATATATACTATACTATATATATGCTGTGACCTAGTTAATCTGTTTTATTTCTCTTTTTTCCCCATTTTGTCCTTATAAAAAATAAAAATAAAAATATAATAAATTATTATTAATATATACATATATATTTTTATTTTATTATTTATATATATTTATATATATATATAATTGTTACACAATTTGATACATTAATTTCTTATTCAAAAAAATCCTGTCATCCAGCATCTCCTCTTCCTCTTTCATCCTCATCACCAAAAATGTATTTTATGTGGACAGATCGATACAGCAACATACATCAAAAAATGTAGGATGTTGGAAAATAAACGAATAATTTTCTGTTAACTAAATGCTTTTTAATCTTCACTTTTGCTACAATGCAAATGAATGAGCTGTATAATATTTTAAAAATATATAGCCGCATTTGGCAAACCCCACGACGTGCATCTAATACTTGGTAATACACACAGGGACTTGTCTTATATTGTGAGAATGAGTAAGCGCTCACCCGAAGGCTGTGTAGTGTAGCGCGGCGTCTCCGTCCTCATCTTTGGCCTCGATGCTGCTGTTGGCCTGAAGCAGGACCTTCACCACCTCCACGTGCCCCTGATGGGCAGCCACCTGCAGAGCCGTCTTACCCTGGTTCTTTATATCCACCTGGACACAGTCACACACTTTACTGTGTATTCACTTAGAAAACAGATGATTTCAATTGTAATAATGTTTCATTTGATCAAATAAATGCAGCCTTGAGGTACAGAAGAGACACTTCCAAAAAAAATTTTTTTTTTAAATTGTACTCTAGAAGGCTGAAGATTAATTGTGAAACTAATAATTGTGAATAATCATTTAATTATGTTTTGTCTTTTTTAAAACTTTAAATGCTATAAAAATGTATATTTATATAATTAATAATAATATAACATATACTTTTATTATACTATAAGGCCAGTTTTTCCTGCAAACACAGATAATCAGCTGAGTCTGTCTCTAGTGTTTATAAAAGGAAATATATAAAAAGAAATAACTTAAAACGACCAGAGATTTTGTACTACATTCTGTCAGGCTGAGAAACTGACCTTGTCAGGGTATTTTTGCACCATTTCGCGCACTTTAACGGCGCTCCCGTGCGCTGCCTCGATAACCAGCCGTCCCGGGTGATCCTGCTCCGTCGACTGAGACAGCAGCTTCTCCAGCACCGAAATAACCGTACCTGAACGATGGAGAGGGAAATAATTAAACTCTGCGTTCAGAAAGGTTTCCATGAGCCCACAGTTCAAAACCAGTCAGAATGAGTCAAAATGTCACCATGCATCAACACACAAACAATCCAGCACTGGCACAGCATGTGAAGGAGAGAAAAAAAGAGAGAAAGACACTAAAAACACACGGCGCTGAAACGAGAAAAACAAGCATTGGTTTCATGCAGGAAAGTGTGGAAGAGAACAGATGATTTATTTTTATCTTAAAGAGAGCCAAAGAAAAAAAGAAAAGAATCATACGACACGACGAGGAGAGTGAGGAGCGGCACTTCCTGTGAATTCTTACTTCCTGATTCGCTGGCGTTCTCAGCCGTCATCAGATTGGCGTCGACCTCACCAGGCTGTGCAGAGAGACACGCGGGGTTAAAGGTCCACGTCTGACCTCCAAACGCCACACGCAGATCCCCGTCGGCATACACTTTCAAAACCTTTCCAACCTGACCCAACGCCTGAGAATAAACACACAAACCAAGAGTCAAATAGAGGATCAGTGCCTCAGGGCTCAGTGCTGGGGCCGCTTCATCTACATGTCATCTGTCATTCAGAAACATGGTTTATCCATCACTGTTATCATCTAGCGACTGGAGTGCCTCAGGGTTCAGTGCTGGGACCGCTTCTCTTCTACATCTACATGTCTTCACTAGCGTCTGTCATTCAGAAACATGGTTTATCCATCACTGTTATCATCTAGCTACTGGAGTGCCTCAGGGCTCAGTGCTGGGACCGCTTATCTTCTCCATCTACATGTCATCACTAGCGTCTGTCATTCAGAAACATGGTTTATCCATCACTGTTATCATCTAGCTACTGGAGTGCCTCAGGGCTCAGTGCTGGGACCGCTTCTCTTCTACATCTACATGTCTTCACTAGCGTCTGTCATTCAGAAACATGGTTTATCCATCACTGTTATCATCTAGCTACTGGAGTGCCTCAGGGCTCAGTGCTGGGACCGCTTCTCTTCTACATCTACATGTCTTCACTAGTGTCTGTCATTCAGAAACATGGTTTATCCATCACTGTTATCATCTAGCTACTGGAGTGCCTCAGGGTTCAGTGCTGGGACCGCTTCTCTTCTACATCTACATGTCTTCACTAGCGTCTGTCATTCAGAAACATGGTTTATCCATCACTGTTATCATCTAGCTACTGGAGTGCCTCAGGGCTCAGTGCTGGGACCGCTTCTCTTACATCTACATGTCTTCACTAGCGTCTGTCATTCAGAAACATGGTTTATCCACACTGTTATCATCTAGCTACTGGAGTGCCTCAGGCTCAGTGCTGGGGCTTTATCTTCTCCATCTACATGTCATCACTAGCGTCTGTCATTCAGAAACATGGTTTATCCATCACTGTCATCATCTAGATACTGGAGTGCCTCAGGGCTCAGTGCTGGGACCACTTCTCTTCTCCATCTACATGTCTTCACTAGCGTCTGTCATTCAGAAACATGGTTTATCCCATCACTGTTATCATCTAGCTACTGGAGTGCCTCAGGGCTCAGTGCTGGGACCGCTTCTCTTCTCCATCTACATGTCATCACTAGCGTCTGTCATTCAGAAACATGGTTTATCCATCACTGTTATCATCTAGCTACTGGAGTGCCTCAGGGCTCAGTGCTGGGACCGCTTTCTCTCTCATCTACATGTCATCACTAGCGTCTGTCATTCAGAAACATGTTTATCCATCACTGTTATCATCTACTGGAGTGCTCAGGGCTCAGTGCTGGGACCGCTTCTCTTCTCCATCTACATGTCATCACTAGTGTCTGTCATTCAGAAACATGGTTTATCCATCACTGTTATCATCTAGCTACTGGAGTGCCTCAGGGCTCAGTGCTGGGACCGCTTCTCTTCTCCATCTACATGTCATCACTAGTGTCTGTCATTCAGAAACATGGTTTATCCATCACTGTTATCATCTAGCTACTGGAGTGCCTCAGGGCTCAGTGCTGGGACCACTTCTCTTCTCCATCTACATGTCTTCACTAGTGTCTGTCATTCAGAAACATGGTTTATCCATCACTGTTCTCATCTAGCTACTGGAGTGCCTCAGGGCTCAGTGCTGGGACCGCTTCTCTTCTACATCTACATGTCTTCACTAGCGTCTGTCATTCAGAAACATGGATTTTCGACTGCTATGCTGCTATTTTTCTTCATTCCAGCCGGAAGATCTGACGGGAGGTGCTCGCATCTCAGCCTGACAGAGATTTTTTGCTGAATGAAGGACCATCCCCTTCAACTCAACTTTGTAAAGTTAGAACTGCTCGTGGTCTCAGCCAACCCAACACTTCATCACAACTTCTCCATTCTGCTGGGTTTATCATCCATAACTCCATCCAGGACAGGCAGGAACCTTGGAGTTGTGATTGATGATCAGTTGAACTCACAGAGCACACAACTCCTGGTCCAAGCTCTTGTCCTATCCAGACTGGATTATGTAAAACCTCTGCAACTGATCCAGATGCCGCAGCAAAGAGTGTTTATCGTCACATCTCTCCTCACAAAATTG